GTATTTGTGTTGGTTTTTATTCTGTTGGGGATTATCCTCCATCTTCTTTTGATCTGAGATTCCGGGTAAACAGTAGGGGACCGGTCCTTCCACCACGACATGCAATGCTGCGAGATGGCAAAATTGACTTATTTCCTGAAACTTTCAAACGGGAGAGTTGTCAGCAGCGAGAGGAGAGAGAGAAGATAACAGGCGAGAGAAAAGAAGGTGCGGGTTAAAGGGAAATGAGAGAGAGAGAGGAAGCAGAGAAGAGAGAGAGAGAGTGATGCAAATGAGCAAGAATTCAGCATGATTGAGAGAGAGAGAGAAGATTCGTGTTGAGGCGCGGGCAAAGAGACTTTTGTTAAACGAGAGAGAGAGAGAGAAGGAGAGAGACTTTCTTGCTGGGTAAAGAGACAGAAGAATGGACCTCGTAGGAAAGAGATAGACTGGCGTAAATTAAAGAGTTAAATTCTAATTACATGATGAAAACAAATGTGGGAAAGATATCTGAGAAGTGAGAACGTGCATGAGAAAGTATAAAAAGAAAGTATTGTCAGTTTCAAGTTTCAAAAAACAATAATGTTTGGAAAGGAACACCAATAATAAAAAGAATTAACGACGCGAGCAGAAAAAGGAGTATCTTAAGTTTTGAGCATCATTATTAGTTTGCTCTAGTGAGAAAGCAGGAGAGTGGACGAGAATTATTTTGTCTCACATTCGACAGTTTTTCAACGATCACAAGGAGGCGTGATGTTAAGTTGATACATTTAAGAACAAGAATGGCCTAACACACTGAAATTAGTTATCGGTAATGTGAGTGAATGGCTCGTACTCGTCAGATGGTATATATATACCTAAACTATAGTACGTATGCTTATAGTCCACGATATTAAGCACCTCATATATATTATATATGATAATTAGAATATAGATATATAAATGTATGAACTAAAAACTATATTATTATAACTATATCTTATGTACTGAGTTATATATTATGTATATAATATGTATATATATTATATACTATAATTACTATATATATATATATAATATACTACATATATATTATATATACATAAACTTATGAGCGTAATAATTATTAATACTACTATATATTTATCCATATATATTATCTGCATACTGTATATCACATATACGATTAGTATATATATATAACTATAACTATATATATGAGATCTCAGTAGCTAATGGTCTATATGCTATAAGTAAGTATTTATATAATATGAGTTGGAATATATTGATAAATATATGTGATATATGTATATATAGATATATAAATAAAGTGATAGTATATAGGATAGTATATAATATAATATATAGTAGGGGTAATATGATCACCGTACCTAATATATATTATATATATATAACTCATATATAATAATTCACTATCTGTGTGTGTGTGTATGTAATGTGTGTGGTGTGTGTGTGTAACATATATACTAGCGTCAACATACTATATACATTTATATATATAATATATATATATATATATCATATATATATATATATATATAGTATATAATATATATACTATATGGGGTGGGGGTCTGTGTGTGTATGTTTTTGTGTGTTTGTGTGTGTGTACCTACGTATGTGTTTGTATGTATATAGAAACGTAAGTGAGCGTACATGTATGTGAACGCAATGCATATAATGTAAATATGTATAACGTCCATTAAGTCTTTTTATATTTTTTTCAAATAGATTTTAATTGGTTTAAGCTAAACATCGTGAATTATGCAACAGGTACAATATTTATATAAAAATAAATTATAGGTTTCTTTCATCATGTTTAAAGGATAAAGGATCTGAATTAAGGCGTAAGAACGGAGGAGCTGGCTGATAAGAGGTTGATGGAGCGGGCTGATAGCTGGGTACTGAGCTTCCCCTTCGTAGGTGACCTTGCCACGTAGCCGGAGTCGCCGTCGACGTAGTAAGGTGACCTTCTGGACACGGCGGCCGTCGGGGAGCTGCACGTAGTACGTTCCCTGAGTGTTGTAGCCGTCGCGGTCCTCTTGATGCCCAAAGTTGTTGCCGGAGTAATCATCGTTTACGTTATACTGGGCATTGTACTGGGGTGGGACCTGCGAGTGGAAGTAAATGGCATTCGTAAAGCGCTGAAACAATGATCATTCGCTTCGTATTATCAACAACACCAACAAAATAATTACAACAGTTGGAGTATACTACACTGCATTTGAAATCCACACTCACATCAGCATAAACGGGAGCAGCATAGGATGGAGAAGGGCGGACGGGGGCGCTGTAGGATGGGCTGGGAGGCGCGTAGGAAGGGGCTGGGTGAGCAGGAGGAGAGTAGGAAGGAGTCTCGGGTCGGGCTGCGACGGCCACTGCGAGCGCCACGAACGCAAATACCTTGGAAAAGGTAGATTCTGGGTGTGAGGTACAGCTACTCATAGTGATATAATTGTTCACTGCACATTTTCAACACTGCGAGAAGTTCACCTTAAAGGACATGTTTGTGATGGAATCCTGACAGAAACTAAAGCAATGAGAAAATTTCCGGACCTTTTATAGTAACCTCCGAGCCACGTCCTTTCACGTCATGAATTGCCAGATCACTTATGTTTACGTTTTCTTGGGAAATGCACTGTGCTTTTAACAGGAAAAGTGTGCCTGAAGGTCGGCACACCCATGAATGGTCCAGTAAAAGCAAAATGAGTGAACATATGTTATAGTATATATACGTTTACGAACATATCTAAAAGGTCTACATAAATATAAACAGAAAATAAATTACAAACACACATATACAGTATGCCATATATATATATACTGTACATACATACATACATACATACATACATATATATATATATCATACATATATATATATATATATATATATATATCTATATACTCTTATAATATATTATATATATATGATCATAATGTTTACATATATTTACACACACACACAAACACACAACACACCACATCACACTCACCTTCCCACCCTTTCTTTCTCCTTTTCCACCCACCCAGTCAACAGCTATATTATACCATCTAATACTATATATATATATATACTATATAATATACTTCCTTTCACTACTATCTATCATTAAGTCCTTATACGCTATGCTCTTACTTCATATAACCTTTATACTGAACTATCTATATACTCTATCCTTATTTTATAACCTTATGCATCACCACCTCATCACACCGCCATCCCGCTCACCCCTTCCTCACCACCCACCTAACACACACATTCCACCCACCCCATTACCACACACATACAACCGTAAGACGGACAGCCACATACAAGCCACAACTTTGTGTCGATTGTTCAGAAAAAGATGGCCCCCACCCACCTCCAACCCCGCCCCGTTCAACCATGAATCAATGATACGAATATATATATCTATATTACATTACTATTTATATATATATAGATTATTAGATCGAGGCTAGCTATAGTTAGACTTATTAGGGCATATTATGATATCCCCTATCACTCCTCCCTTCACTACCTCAGACCTACATATGTAAGACAACACCCCCACACCTTGTTGAGGATGAATTTAGGATAAGAGTGGGTGCACACGACACACAAAACGCAAATGCTACTCATGCGTTTGCACTACACATACAATCACAACAGATACACGAAGGTGGACGAACACACAGCATCACAAGACAAGCGAGAGGGAGAACGGAGGGAGTTAGAGAGAAGGGAAAGAGAGAGGACAAATAGGTAGAGAGATAGAGGGGTAGATAGGGACATCTATCACGACACGAACACAAGATATTAAGTAATGATAGAGCTATAGAAACATAGACATAAACAGATAGTATATAACATGAATACAGATTAGATATTAATATGGTATAGAAGTAAGAAGGGAAGTCCACATAACTAATAAGATATAAAATATTAAGAAAGATAAAAGTAATTGTAATGCTGATGTAGTAAAGATGTAGATGGATGTCATGATGTATTAGATAATATAGATATAAATAATAATTATACCATAAATATCGTAATATAATACATATATGTAGACATATAATTAAATACGGGTATATATATCATATATAATATATATACAACAATCAATGATAGAAGGTATGTGATGTGTGATGGTAGGTGTGTAAGTGGTGTTGAGTATGGTGCCGTGTGATGAGCTTGGTAGTGTGTGTTGTGAAAATAATGGATGAGAGGATGTGAGTGTAGTAGGTAGTGTGGGGTAGGTGTGTGATATGTCTGATGTGATGGTGGTGATTGTGTGTTGTTCCGATGTACATCAATCAGTGATATATTTATTATTTAATAGATAAATATAGTATATAATATATAGACTGAGTATAATAAATGAGATTACCACTTATCATAACTAATATAATATATAGATGATGATGATATAATATATATATATATATTTATAATTGTGATAAATTTAATCATCAGTCGTGGGACCGTCCACCTCGCCTCCAACGATGAATGATATGACTATACATTATACAGTCGTTTTGTGCGCGGGCTTTGAGGCCTCGAGTGGAGGCCGGTCCCGACAAAGAAAACGTGGTATGCCTCGAACGATGAGAATATTATATACGCGCTCCTACCTTGTGTTTATCTATATCAAATAAAATTTTTAATCACTATCATCTAACTAATTACATTCATACTGATGTTTAATGACCATGTCAAATATACGTAGAAATTAAACATCACTACCATTCTCTATTTTAGCACTGGAAAATTAGAATCCTGTAAGGCGAGTGACAATGAAAAGAGTGTAGCTCACTTTAAATAAGCGGAGATTTGAAGTATGGTGTTTTGAATCAGAAAAGGCAAAATTGCATACGTTTTAATTAGAAGTATATATATATATATATAGATATATATATATATAGTATAGAAGATATAGGAAGGATAGATATAGATAGTAAGATATATAAAAGAGTGAGTAGGTATGTGAGAGTGTGTGTGTTGGGTGTGAGAGTGAGTGTGTGATGTGGTGATCGATGTGGATGTGTCGGTGTAGTGAGGTGTGATGGCTGAGATGGTTGTAGGTGTGTGAGTAATGTAATGGGATATAATATAGTTATAGATATAATATTTATAGATAGAGGTAATAGGGATATGAGAGAGAGAGTCATAAAGTAGTATATACATATATGTATAGATTACTATACCTGCTTGTGTAGTGTGGTCGCCTGTGTGGTGTGTGTGTGTGGTGTGTGTTGTGTGTTGTGTGTGTGTGTGATGGGTGTGTATGTGTGAGAGTGTAATAATATAGATAGTATTAGTATATATAAATATATAGTAATATAAGTTATATAAAATATATATATATAATATATATATAGTATAGTAATATAGTACCACTACAAAACAAGCATTGTGAATATACAATATATCATAGATTATATATGCATATATGTATACAATTTATATATTATATAATATAAATATAGAAATAATATATATATATATATATAATATAAATAAGTATATATATATACGTATATATAGTAAATAGATAGTAGATATATATATAATAATATATATATATATATATATATTGTGTGGTGGTTGTGTGATGTGTGGTGTGTGAATGTGTGTGTGTGTGTGTGTGTGTGTGTGTGGCGTGTAAAGGGTGTGTGTGTGTGTGTGTGTGTGTGTATGAGAGTGTAAGTGTGTGTGTGAATGTCGGGTAGTGGTGTGAATTGATTACAAGAAATAACATCTTCAGTATACATATGGTGTATGTATATAGGCAACGGCACATACACATGTCACTTACAGACAGTCCCTTCGTATTCAGTTTCCTGTAGTAAAAACAAGGATATACCCATCTTGTATAATTCTATCCGGAAAAAAGATAACACACACACACAACCGCCACCACACACACAACACACACACACACACACACACAACACACACATATATAATATATAATATATAATATTATAATATATATATATAGATATATCATTATATACTAATATATATATATAGAGAGAAAGAGAGAAGTATATAGTAAATAGATATAGTATATATATAATATAATATTATCCCACAACTCTCAAAGTTTGAATGGTGTAAAATCACGTTTTAAAGTGCTGTGTGGGTACAATGTAAGTAAGTGCTTTTTTTTTTGATTGTTTGTTTGTTTAAAATAATGTAAGCTCTTTCACCGACACAACAGAGAAACAGATATACTTCAATTAAATCTCTGCAGGATTTATTTCGTACAATTAATAAGATCAAAAATACATTACGCACATAACGGAGAAGAAGTTTGGTAATGAGGTAGATGGTTCGCGTAAGCTGGACTGAGCTTGCCCCTTCGTAGTGACCTCTCCACGTAGCCGGACCTCGCCGTCGCGACGAGTAAGTAGGTGGACCTTCTGGACACGGCCGTCGGGAGAGCTGCAGCGTTGTACGTTCCCTGAGTGTTGTAGCCGTCGCGGTCCTACTTGATGCCCAAAAGTTGTTGCCGAAGTAAATCATCGTTTTAACGTTATACACTGTGCATTGGTATTAGTTTTGGGAATCTGCATGGCGAAATAGAGGGTATTTTTTTTATCAATCGGACATGAAATAATATTATATAATATATAATAATATATATATATAATATATAATATATATATAAATATATATATAATATATATATGCATACAAATATATAGATTAATAGTAGGAATAGATATATAATATACATAATATATATGCATACATCTATGCAATATATATATATAGATATAAATATATATAGTATATATTAATTTAATATATATATAATAAAATTAATATATATATTATATATATATATAGAGTGGTATATATATATGTATAAATGATATAAATGTAAATATATAGATGAGGGAATATGTAGTAAGAGATGAATAAATAGTATAATATAAATAAGATGGTATTAGATGATAAGTAATTATGATAAGTAAGAAAATAGAGAGAAGAGAGAGATAATATATAGAGATAAGTATATAAGAAGAGAGAGAGTAAGAGAGTAATAGAAGAATAAGAGAGTATGTTGGTGTGGTGTGTTTAGTGTGTGGTGTGTGTGTGTGTGTGGTTGTGTAGTGTGTGTGTATGTGTTAGAGAAGGTAAGAGAGAGTAAGAGAGAGTAATAGAGAGAGTAGAGAGAGAGAAGAGAAAGAGAGGTAGAGAAAGAGATAGAAGGAGTAAGGGTAGAGAGGTAGAGAGAAGAGAAGAGAGGATAGTAGATGAGACAAGGACTACATGATTAATATATATATTTATATTAATATTATATATATAATTAATATATATATATATATATATTATATATATATAATATATATAATAATATATATTGACATATATAATATATATATATATATATATATATATATATATATATATATATATATATACATATATGTATATATATATATATATATTATATATTATATAATATATATATATATAATTATATATATATATATATATATATATAATATATATATATA